TTCATTGAGCAGTATGTGGGCTGTGGGTTTATCATTGATGGCTCTTACTGTTTTGAGGAATGTTCCTTCTATACCCAGGTGTTCAAGGGTTTTTATCAAGAAGGGATGCTGAATTTTGTTGAAAGCTTTTCCTGCATCTAATGTGTGGTTCTTGTTTTTACATCTGTAAATGTATTTAATTACGTTTATGGTTTTGTGAATGTTGAACCAGTCCTACATCTCAGCAGTGAAGCCAACTAGGTCATAGTGGATGATTCTTGCGATGTGTTGTTGGATCCTATTTGCTAGGATCTTATTGAGAATTATTGCATCTATGTTCATCAAGGAGATTGACCTGTAATTCTCTTTCCTTGTTGGCTCTTTACCAACAAGGAAAGCTTCATAAAATGATTTGAGGGGAGTTCCATCCTTTTTGATTGCCCAGAATACTTTCGATAGGATTGGTATCAGCTCCTTCTTATATGTTTTATAGAATTCAGCTGGAAAGCCACCTGGTCCACGTCTTTTTATTTTTATTTATTTTCTCTTGTAGGTAGATTTCTTATGATAAAGTCAATTTCCTGTATTGTTATTGGTCTGTTTATGGTTTCAGTTTCTTATTGTTCCAACCTTGGTAGGTTGTGGGATGTCAGAAAGTTCTCTATTTCCTTTAGGTTTTCAAGTTTATTTTCATACAGGTGTGCAAAGTATTCACTGATAATCTTTCTAATTTATTCTGTGTCAGTTGTTTATTCATCTTTTGCATTTCTAATTGTATTTATTTGGATTTTCTCTCTCTTTTTCTTAGTCAATCTGGCTAGGGGGTCCATAATCTTATTTATCCTCTCAAAGAACAAGATTTTGTCTTGTTAATTTTTTCTGTGATATCTTTGTCTTCTATGCCCTGCAGCTGCAATTTTATTTTGGTGATCTTGATCCTTCTGCTGAAGTTAGGATTTTGGTGGCCTTGCCTTTCTAGCTCCTTTAGGTATGACATTAGGCTGTTTACTTGTGATCTGTTTTCTTGATGTGTATGTGCAGAGCTATACATTTTCTTAATATTGCTTTCATGGCATCCCAGAAGTTCTGATGTGTTTTTGTTTTCATTCATTTCAGGAATCTTTTAATTTCTATCTTAATTTCTGTGTTGACCCAGGAGTCATTCAGCAGTTTATTGTTTAGTGCCCATGTCTTTGTATGTTTTGGGGGTATCTTGTTGGTAGCAATATTTACATTTATTCCACTGTGATCTGAGAAGATGCATGGTATTACTTTGATTTTTTGGAATTTGTTTTTGCTTGATTTATGTCCAAAAATGCAGTCGATCTTAGAGTATGTTCCATGTCCCGATGAGTAGAATGCATAATCTGTGTTTGTTGGGCGAAGTGTTCTGTAGATGTCTATTAAGTTCATTTGGTTGAGAGTCAAGTTGAGGCTCTGGATCTCCTTACTGATTTTTTTGCCTCAATGTTTTATTTAGGATTGCTAGTGGTGTATTTAAATCTTCAGTTATAATTATGTGTGAGTCAATGTCCTCCTTTAGTTTACTTAGCAGATGATTTCTAAAACCTGGTGCTCTTGTGTTGGGTACATCATTTTGGATCAGTATCAAAGGAAGAGATGACAGAACTTTCCAACATATTGGGTGTGGGCAGTAAGGGAGAGAAAAGTTAGGAGGATGTCTAGGTTTTGGCTTGAGCAGAGGAAGTGGCAGGTTGAGGAACAAGCTGATCAACAACACAGTGCTGGACAAGTGAAATCTGAAAGGCCTAGTAGACATCCCAATGGACATGGGGAGAAAGATGGTGGGGGTATAAATACATTTGAGGTTCAAGGAAAATCCAGGGATTCCCTGCTCTCAGGCATTTGTCAGCTTCAGAGTCAAGGCCATAGCCACACCAATAGGCACTTTCTCCCCAGCTGGAATAGAAATCCCAAACTGGAATTGAAATTTGGGATGTCGTCGCATTTGAATAGCATTTAAAATGTGGGACTACAGGGACCACTTGGAAATGACTGGCAAGAGACAGGAGATAAGACCTGGGGAGTCCCTTGGGCTGCCCAACAGTCTGAGGTCAGAGGAATGTGCAGGAGCCAGTAAAGGACACCAAGAGGAGTAACTAGACAGAGAGTAGAGGTTCAGACAAAAGCCATGCCTTGAAACCAAGCAAGAAGGAAGTGGCCATCTGCTTGCTGGCTTCAGTGAGATTGGGGCCTAAGAACGTACAGTCAGGTGTAGCAAGGAAAACCTTGGCAAGGAGTCTCATGGATTGGGGGGAAGCAAAAGGGGGGGGTTTGTGAGAGAGTGGAAAGAGGGACACCGCAGGGTGAAGACTTTTGTTAACAGCCAAAGGAGAGGCCGGGCGTGGTGGCTCAGCCTATAATCCCAGCATTTTGGGAGGCCGAAGTGAGAGGATTGCCTGAGCCCAGGGGTTCGAGACAAGCCTAGGCAACTTGGTGAGACCTTATCTCTACAATAAATCACAAAAACTAGCCAGGCATGGTGGCATACATCTGTAGTTCCAGCTACTTGGAAGGCTGAGGCAGAAGGATCACCTAAATCCAGCAGGTCGAGGTCACAGCACTCCAGCCTGGGCAACAAGAGTGACATTCCAACTCAAAAACAAAACAAAACAAAAAACTGAAGGAGAGAAATGAGCCAAAAGACAGAAGGCAATGTGGGTCAGGGCAAGATTTTCAAAACTGGGAGATGTCTCTGATAGCCATGATCCAGAAGCTAGGGGAAAACTCTCTGCTGTAAGAGAGACAGTGTAAGACTTTCCAGTCCTTGGTTTTCTTACAATAGAGGTACTTGGTAAGATTATTTTCTTATTAACTGGGAAGTGGTAATGAGAAGATTTTCTTCTCTAATATCTGTGGGAAAGAGATGGGGGGATTGGGAGGAGGAAGACAGATTGCCCATTCATTTGGAAGGAATGAATCAAGAAAAAGAATCCTTGTTGCTGCACACACCATCACATTTGCCCACAGGCATTTGTCAGCCCCAGAGTCAAGGCCACAGCCACACCAATCAGCACGTTTCCCAGTGCAGACTCTCCATCCCAAACCAAGTTCTGCCCCACCCACTTGCTCCAGGCCCAATCCACACTCACACCAGGACTGGATCTATTTTCACAAAAGCCACAAGCTTAAGTTTTCAAAGTAGCACTTGTTCCTGGGTCTTTCGGAAAAAAGCAAGGCCATGAACTTGAAGTGACATTGCTTTGAAACCCGAATGACCCAGGCTCAAATCTTCGTGTCTTTGGAGCAAATTATATAAATGTTTTAGTGTCTGCTTACTGATCTGTAAAAGAAGAATATTGATGCCAACTCATCTAGGCTGTTGTGAGGGTCAAATTAAAGATGGTCTGTGCCTAGGTCTATATATAACATGCAACAGGCATTCAACACATGTCAGCTCCCTGATCTCAGGGCTATTTCTGATTAGAAGAACTCACATCTGACTATGAGCTCTTGGGAATGTGGACAACGTTCTGAATTGTTCTCTTTGCTCTCACATCACCCAATAAAACCTCTTTACTCACTTGATGGATCAGATCAAGTACTGTATATATTTCCTTCATTGGTTCTTTTCAACAAATAGATTTCTTCCCTCTTAGACTCCTGCATTTCTAATTGATGACTATCTTTTACCCAAAAATTCCTACTTAAAGGTTCAATGAATTCATCCCAAAAAAGATCAAATGAGTAAAACTCTAATTCAACATGAGCCATCTATCTTTCATTAGAAGGAACATCTCTCAACACAGACCAGGAACTCACCTGGGACATCCTGGGGGCTGAGCTCTGCATCCCCACTTACCATGCCCCACGGCGCTGGTAAGTTCCTTTCCTTCAAGCAGGTCCTGCCTCAGCAAAATGGCAGCAGGCAAAGTCAGCCTCCTAAGACGGTTTCCCCATCTCACCCCCACCCAGTTCCCAATGGAACCTCACCCACACCTTTCTCCCAACCCCTGTGTCCTCATCCCAATCAGCACACAACCCCCAGCCTATCCTTCTCTTTCTCTTTACAAATTCACTTTCTAATAAGACCCTAATCCCAATTCTGTTTTGCAAAACAATGAAAAAATACTTTACTTAATAGCTAATGAAAGTTCAGCTGAACTCTTAACTTCCAATTATGGGGTACCCACGTAGCCTTGATGTGGTCTCTGTGACTTTGGCAATATCACACCCATGGTTTCTCTTTGGTATCTGCAGGGGCAACTCGCACCTTCTCCTATCACCCATCATTCTCCAGAGGTGAGGCCCTTCCTGGGTATGCCCAGACAGAAGCGTCGGCTGCACTGTCCCAGTCAGCAGGCTCTTCTGTCCAGGCTTGCCCTGACTACTCCACCCCAGGATCAACCCCAGGACTAAGGCATCTGGACTTGGGAACCAGAAGCAGCTGCAGGCCATTGAGGCCAGGCTCTACAAATGTTGAAGACCAAGGGAAACAAAATATTGTAAGGGCAGGAAGTCTGTGGTGAAGGAGAGTGTGCACACACAATGCCTTCTGGGTCTACACGTTTGCCATTGTGCTTCCAAAATTCCATATAGAAACAACCTTCAGGTGGCCTCTACAGGGAGTGGGAGGAAGCTACATTTGTATAATTTTTTATTTAATTGTGCAACACTATCAGTTGCTTGCATCAAAGAGTGAGAGTGTGATGACAACGTGGGGGCTAAAACAACGTAAGCATCTCCTTGTTCTTACTACTGAATACATTGCCATATACCACCAGGATTCTCCATGGTAGGATGGTTAGTGGGGCTTAGTGGGTTCAGAGGGATCCGAATGTTAGCAGTGATATAATTGAAACTGATGTTGGAACCTCTTGAGACCATAGGACTCCTGAGTTGAGGCTTTTCCTTTGAATAGGCTAAGAGTCTTCTTTGAGGTTTATCCCAAATTAACACAGGTTTGAGTTAAGGGATTACAGGAGGGAGGGAGTTAGCAACAGGAATCTACTGCTTGACATTCTGTGACTGGTCTTGCTCTCCCAGAGAACTCACTCTCCATGGAGCATAGAAACCACACAAGCATCTCTGAGTTCATCCTTCTCGGGTTCTCCAGCCAGCCAGAGAAGCAGGAGCTGATCTTTGGGCTCTTCCTTGCCATGTATCTGGTGGGAGCTGCAGGGAACCTGCTCATTATCCTGGCCATCGGCTCGGCCTCCCATCTCCACACACCCATGTACTTATTCCTCAGCAACCTCTCCCTGGTAGATTTCTGCTTCATCTCTGCCACGGTCCCCAAGATGCTTGTGAACATCCAGACACAGACTCAGTCCATCTCCTATGGAGCCTGTCTGGGCCAGATCTACTTCTGCATCTTGTTTGCCAACATGGACAACTTCCTCCTGACAGCGATGGCCTATGACCGCTATGTGGCTATCTGCCACCCGCTGCACTACTCCTCCAAGATGAGCCTGCGTGTCTGTGCCCTGACACTGGGCAGCTCCTGGGTCATCGCCAGCCTCCACTCCCTGCTGCACACCCTCCTCATGGCCCGGCTGGACTTCTGTGCCGGCAATGCCATCCCTTACTTCTTCTGTGACCTCATTCCCCTGCTCCAGCTCTCCTGTTCCAACACGCAACTCAACCAGCTCATGATTCTGCTGGTGGGGGGCCTGATCGTCCTCCTTCCCTTCCTCGGCATCCTTGTCTCCTACACACGCATTGTGTCTGCTGTGCTCAGGGTCCCATCTGCCCGGGGCAAACAAAAGGCCTTTTCCACCTGTGGCTCCCACCTGACTGTGGTCATCCTCTTCTATGGGACCATCACAGGGGTCTACCTGAGTCCTTCATCTTCCCACTCCACGGACAAGGATTCACTGGCCTCCGTGATGTACATGGTGGTGACTCCCATGCTGAATCCTTTCATCTACTGCCTGAGGAACAAGGGCATGAAGGAGGCGCTTAGGAAACTGTTCAGCCTGAAGGCTTTATCCCATGGGCTGTGACACAGCCGAGCTCCCCCTCAGAGCCTGCGTGCTGTGAAGGGAATGAACCCAGAAACAGGCTCCACAGACAGGGCAGGAGAAAACAGACCTTTTTGTCCTAGATTGTCTCCAAGGCTGGAAAATATCCCTTGTTGCTCCAATACTAGTTTAAAGTCTGAAGTTCCTGTGTAGGAATACTACACAGGATATTTCCCCCAGAATACTACCGGGGGAAAAAGCTCTCCCCACATCCAAAAGACGCAAATTTGTCTGCAGACCCCACACTGTGCCACTATGTGTTGTTTTTTTTCCTAGACAAGACAGGTCTGCCATCCACATAAGGAAAGAAGAGAGACCAGTCCTGGCACTTGTTCTCTGGGTGTGAAGAACGTGAAGGGAATGGGCCATAGAGTCCTTATGAATGTGCTTCGGCACACATTGACTAGGAGGAGGAAACAATGAACATAGGGCTCATAAAAATGAGTTTATGGTGGGAGAAATGATATGTGGCTTTCTACCCAACAGGGCAATAACCTTGGCTGCAAGGGGTGTGGTAGAGGAAAGAGCATGACTCAGAAGGTCACAACTGGCTCTCCCAGTTTCTAGCCATTTGACTCTGCTCCAGTCATTCTGAAATTCACCAATCTACCAGCCCTTGCTTTTTCTGTCCCCCTCATGCTATTCTGGCAGTCCATCTTGCCAAATTCTATCTATAAAATCCCACTTGTCCTTCAAGGCTTAGATCAAATTCCATGTCCTTCATGAAGCCTTCCTGGCGTTCGTAGACAGAAGAGAGCTTCCTTTCCCCTCTGGAGCTACAGAGTACTTTGATTCTATAACAGCCCTTTTCAGGCTCTGCTTTGTGTCATTCACATTCACCTCAAATTCTACCCTAAACAAGATCATTTGGATCTCTCTAAGTTTTATAAAAGCCTTGCTCATCTTAATAACCCCATCCTCAGGAGACTCTGTCACAGTGCCTGGTTTACAACGAGACAATTCTAGTATGCTGCTGCAGATGATATTACAAAGATGATGATGAGATGACAATGAAGACACATACACTGGAGAAAGAACCTTCTGATCTTCTCCCCTTCATTTTACCCTAACCCATTCCCTTCCCATCTCTCTGACTCCATTCCCAGCAAAAGAGTTATTTATCTGTTTAGTCAGAACTCTAGGGGCTCATTGGTCCCTGTTTTGTGCAGGGGAGTGTGCCCTACAGGGTCAGCATCCCAGGATGAGGCTCCCTTCCTTCCAGTTTGGTCCTGATTAGTCCTCTTCTCCTCATGTGTCTTGCTGGAGTCCCCACTTGGGATCCAGTCATCAGTATCCTTCTCTCCACAGCATGCTTGACTCCATGGGTCTTCAATTCAGATGTGGGGCTGAGAGTGGGAGCAAGGTCAGCTAAATAATTTTCCAGTCCCCCTCTTCCCAGTAAATCCAGTGATGCAGAATACTGGGTGTGGCTCAGATAGTAATAAAGTGATACTTGAGCCTCATCAGATGCTGCCCTTTGAGCCATCAGGGTTGGGATGATTGGCAGAGCAGGATTCAGACTTTTCTGGGTCTCTGACCATAAAGTCACAATCATAGCAACAAAATCTCACCTCAAACCTGTAAAAATGATATGAAGAAGGATTGACATTAACATGAAGAAAAGGTCTTCCTTCAATGTGCATTTACTGCAATGATGAATAATATAATGGTTTGGCCTAACCGAAAAATACTGAATTGAACAAAAAGGGGAGGGCAGCAATGAATAAATATGAGAGATCTTCAACTGACCTTGCTCCTTGGTCATTTGTAAGAAGACTTTCTGACTAATCTAGGGAATACACCAAAAGCAATACTAAGAGACAGCTTTATGGCAATAAATGTCTACATTTAAAAAGTCGACTTTAAATAGGCAAATTTACATGCACATTGAAAAACTAGAAAAGCAAGAATCAATCAAACTCAAAATTAGAAGAAGGAAAGATAACGATCAGAGTCAAAATATACAAAATAGAAATTAAAAGAAAAATACAAAGGATCAATAAGACAAACAGTTGATTTTTTTTGAAAGATACAAAAATCAATAAACTCTTCCCTACACTAACCAAAAAAAGAAGGAATAGCCAAATAAATAAAATCAGAGACAAAAAATGCATACAAAAAGATATAATAACTTATACCACAGAAATACAAAGCATCACCAGAAACTATTTTATGAACAACTATATACTAACAAATTAGAACACATTGAGGAAAGGGATAAATTATCAGATATATACAATATGCCAACATAGAACCTGAACAAATAGAAAACCTGAACAGGCCAGTGATCAGTAACAAGGCTGAATCAGCAATAAAAAATTTCCCAACTAAGAAAAACCCAGGCATGGATGGCTTTTCTCCTGAATTCTACCAAATTTTAAAGAAGAACTAATATCAGTTTCTCTCAAACTAATTCACAACTTATAAACGGTGCTGGGAAAACTGACTATCCATAAGCAGAAGAATGAAACTAGACCCTTATCTCTTACCACCTGCAAAATTCAACTCAAGATAGATTAAAGACTTAAATATAAGACCCAAAATTATAAAACTGCTAAAAGACAACATAGGGGAAACACTTCAGGACATTGATCTAGGCAAAGATTTTTATGGCTGAGACTGCAAAAGCACAGGTAACAATAAATAAAATATTCTAATGGGACTATGTTAAGCAAAAAAACTTTTGCACAGCAAAGGAAACTAACAACAGAGTGAAAAGACCATCTGTAAAATGGGAGAAATATTTGTAAGCTATTCATCCAACAGGGGAACTAATATCCAGAATATACAAAGACCTCAAACAACTCAACAGAACAACAACAACAATCCCCTTAAACGCCAGGCAGAGTATCTGAATAGACATTTCTCCAAAGAAAACATACAAATAGCCATCAGGTATATGAAAAAATCATTAACAACATTAATCATCAGAGAAATGCAAATAAAACCACAAGTATAATTTTACACCAGTTAGAATAGATATTATCAAAAAGACAAAAAGTAACAGATGCTGGTGAGGATACAGAAAAATGGGAATTCTTATAAATTTCTTGTAGAAATTTAAATTAGTGAAGCCATCATGGAAAACAGTACAGAGGTCTCTCAAAAAACTAAAAATAGAATTACCATATGATCTAGCAATCACACTACTGGGCATCTATCGAAAGGAAAGAAAATCAGTATATCAAAGGAATACTCACACCCCTGTGTTTACGGCTGTACTATTCACAATAGCCAAGATATGGAATAAACCTAAGTGTCCATGAACAGTGGAATTGTTAAAGAAAATGTGTTATATATACACAACTGAATACCATTCGCCATAAGAAAAAATGAAATCTTGTGATTTGCAGCAACATGGATGGAACTGGATGTCATTAAGTGAAATCAACCAAGGTGTCAAAAGACAAATATTACATGTTCTCACATAGATGTAGAAGCTCAAAAAAGTTGATCTCATAGAGACAGACAGTAGAATGATAGTTATCTGAGGATGGAAAGGGTTGGGAAAGGGGAATGAAGGAAAGTTGGTGAATACAAACATGGTTAGATACAAGGAACAAACTCCTGCTCAATGGTTAGATGGACGTAACAAGCTCTACTGTTTAATACACTGCCAGGTGATGATCATTATCCACAATATATTGTATATTTCAAAATCACTAGAAGAGAATATTTTTTAAATGATAATAAAACTGCCTTTTATTGTTATTGAAATCAAGAAAAAACATTCAACGCACAAATTGGGCAAATTGGGGAGAAGCAAGCCTTCTGTTCCCCGGAAAAGGCAGTAGTGAGTGGGCCAGGGAAAGGGAAGAGTTTTGAGAGCAGCGATGTCTTTTCAGTGTGGGCTCTGCTGGGAAAGGAGAGGAGGGTATGCGGCTGGCACAGCTGTCATCTTAAGCAGCGGGAAGGGGCTTGCACCGGTCTGTGGCTCCTGCAGGGATAGAGAAGAGGTTAGGAGAATGAGCAAGCTGTTGCCTGAAGCCTCAGAGGCCGTAGCGGGGTCCTGACTTGGAACTTGGGGCAGGAAGGCTGGGTGCGCTCAGAGACGCATGGTCCCCTAGGGACTGCTTCTAAGGGACTCAGGAAGGCCAGAGGTGCCTGGCCATGCTGTACCTGCTCATGCTGCAGCTCTGGGGCTGGACCATGGGCCAGTGTGCTTCCTGCAGCAGACAAGGCGGGCTGAGGGAGACTGCTCACCAGGCCCAGGCACCGTCTCCCCCTCCCAGGCTCTGCTGCCCGGAACCTGACGCTGCCGCTCAGTGGCCCGGACCTGGGCACAAAGACAGGGACCACTCCATGTCTCTTCACGGGCTTCAAGGCAGATGGCCTAGACTCCAGGTTCAGCTTCCTGCACTTGGCATCCGGAATCTCAAACCAAAGTGGCCCGTCGAACTTCCTCTTCCCCTTGTTGCACTGGCTGAGCGCCTTCAGCACCGTCTTCTTGGCACAGGGGTCCGGGCCCTCCTGGGCCGGAGGAGGCTGGTACAAGCTCCCCTCGCGCTGCGGGGCGCGGACCCTGAGGGTCACCAGGCTGCGGGTGGGACGAGGGTTCCGGGCCTTCCACAGCCTCCACTTGAGGAAATTCCGGGGGATGTTCGGCCCCAGGAAGATCTGGGGCGGCGGCCTGTTGGGAGAGCTCCTCCAGGGCTGGGGGACCCCGGCCCTCCACTCCTGGGCG